CACAACTATATATAGACTTGGAATTAGATGGGTTAGAAGTTGGGTTTGAAACTGAAAGATAGCACCAACACTGAGGTTTGGAATGGATAGAGTCGGGTTTAGGATCAAGATACAAAAAAAAGAAAATTTTGCAGGAGACGTCCCAATGACGACCATTACCACCCCATACCAATTTCCACTTAGAACCATTTTTCCCCCTGATAATGATTTTCAAAACCGATATTGGTAGTATGGAAAGCTATTCAGAAGGAAATGGCAAAAACAGGCAGTAAAAGTTGAACAGGAAACAGTAAAGGCAAATGCTCAACTTTTAATATAAAAATAAAGTCTATAACAGTGGTACTTCTACAGTAAAAAATAACAAAATGAGTGCCTGTCTTTAACATTGTCTTTATCAACAGCAAAGTATAACACCAACGTGAACAAAACATGAAGAAAATATTGTATACGCACTATGTTATCTCACAGGAGAGTCAAGACAGGAATTTTAAACCTTAGGTTCACTTTTAATGTTTATAATTTTGTTCTCAACGTTGTCATACTCAAAGACAAAAGAGCTCCCACATTCGAGGACACAGCACATTCATCAACCACTTTGTACAGAAATTTTTCTGACTTTGCTGTGTTAATGTATTTTTCATTCTTCAAAGCTTTGACACGAATATTTTGAAGCAGGTAGATTTTGTGCAGCTCCAGAGTTTTAACATTGTCTTGCCATAAAATGAGCTTTACAAAGCCTGTTGGATCTCCTACGATCAACTCCTGCTTCATGAGAAATGAACCATGCTGAGTCGTGATTTTTTGACAGAATCTACATATGCAACTTCAGCTTTTAAGGAGACAAGTTGTTCTGGGGCCACTTGACGGAGGTTGGCAATGTTGGTTGTAAGAGATGAGGAATCCAGTTCTTCAGAATAGGTACAATCTATCGATGATAATGGAGCGACTTTGGTCTGTTTTAAGATAATCACATCATTCTTTCCATTGGTTTCGCTCAAGCGGATATTCTGAAGTTGAGCAGGACTTTTTGAGAACTGCGCATTGTTTATTTCAACATGTTTTTCTGGGCTGAAACAAACTGCTCTCACCACGGATTTTTCTCCTTGTAATGTACAATTGAAGGAACTCTTTCCAGACGAGGATCTTTTCACAGGGGATACTGCATGGATAAAGCATTCTAATGATTCTAAAAAAAAAATAAGCAATCGCAATAAAAACTCGAATCTTGATTAATAGTATTTGGTAAATCGTAGTAGTGTACTTGTAGTTTAATCACGTTGTAAAGCTATAATAATTAACTTGGAGCAAACCATGCATTCAATCTTCAATTTTAAGAAAATACATACCTTTCTCATATATTTTGCTCATTCTGAAATTCGACAAAAAAAAAGACAGTTTCTGACTCTGGTTGACTGAACACTGCAAACACATGCAATCAATGACATGTTGTTTGGCATAATGGCATGATCGATCGACCAATGCTGGCCAATAAGATTTCGATATGATAATGAGGCCATACCAGTGAACTCTATACATAAACTGATTACAGGAGATTTCGACCTTTGAAGCTTCTTACAGGGAATTTATATTTGTAAAAATTGGGGTTGTGGATATGAGAAGTAATAGATAAATTAACTCTGTTCTCAAAGTACAGAAAACATAGAACCATATTTGCCCACTGCTAGAATGAACACTTGAGTTAAACGTAGATGAATAATAGCCCGTAAAAATAAAGCCATTGTTATTTCACAAAATAATTGCTTCCTGAATTCAATATGCACGCAATCAACACCCCCCCTCAGGAATTTTGAATGGATGTTCCCCGGAATTGCAACAATCAGATAGACACAAAACCATTTTCAACTTCACATAGCTCCACACTAGGGGCTGGGTAGAGTGAGCTTTAGTAAATTTTTATTGTACATCGAAAATAGTGTGCTGCTGCCTTGCAGGTGCTCAACAGCAATGAGGGTCGTACAGAGGTATTTTTGTAACGCGCGATTGACTAATTCATATTCTCCGAGAATCGTGAATTTAAAATGTTATTCTTCGTGATCCGTGACGGAATGATTTCACGTGACGTGTGAAAAACCCGAATTAATAACCGATATTCGTGATTTAAAGGCCCATTTCTCGTGATTTTCAAAAAAAAAGGAAGTTGAAAGACTTGAAAGCCTTTCTTCGCCATCGAGAGCGAACAAATATTCGGAGATTGTGGAGACCTTGCAGACCCACGGAGGTTGTGGTTGGCATTTCCGGTTTTGTGAAGCTTCATTTGGTCTCGGAGATCATTGGAGATCAACATGTCAACATGGCCGAGCAAAATCCGCAAACGATAGGTACGATAGAAGCTGTCATATTTTATGTGGATCCAAAGTCTTTGAGTCCAATTAATTTTATTGGAAAGGAAAGAGTTCGCTTTCCAATAACAAACGAGCATTCCTTGTTAGCAGAGTTTCGAAAAAAGTTTGCGGAATTTGCGGCATTGAAGGCAGAAGCTGAAAAGCGTGGCCTTGGCTCATATATTGATCTTAAATTTTGTTGGTTGGAGAAAAGAAGAGATGGCAGTAAGGCGTTCGCAATAAATACCCAAGAGCAATAGGATGAAGAAAGGCTGTTATTTTCTGGGTCAACACTACAAGGTAGGAATATATTTACATATAATTGAGGTCAATTGACCATGATATATATAAAAAAATATGAAGGCTATGAAAGTTTTGCCCATACTTAATTTCGCGATTTTTCAATGCGAAACTTAGAAGTTTCAAATATATCTTAAAATAAATATTCGAGAAGGATTTTTGAACAAGGTAAATATTTGTATAAAGTCTAAAGATTATAAAAGTAAATAACTACCAAATAAGTCACATATTAGTGCTAAGTGTCAGTATAGTGACTATACTGTATGGGTCTGTATGGTAGTCTCTCGGTTTACTGTCTTTACTGTGCATACGTGGTACTACATGGATTATGTGTGAGTATGATCTGTTGTGGGCATTAAATCACATAGTTTTACCAATGACACCAATATATTTTCAAATCGAATTTTTAAATAGGTCTAATACAACTTGAACAGGTATAGTGAGGCTGCCTTACATGGCCTTAAACATTTTTAGTACGTTTTCATAGTCTTCAACTCAAGCCAAAATTGATGTCACCAACCACAGGGGATTATTGTTGTGGCGTATGGACAACATCGTCTGGTTACGAATAATATTCAATTGTGGTTTTGTTAACGAAAATAGTATATGGAAGCATAATGTTCCTTAATTGTTTAGGTCGTTTTCAAGCGTTATTAATCAGAAATACCTTTAATTTATATTCTAAGGTTTCTAATTCTTTAATATTTAAAATTATTATTTTAATAATTGTTTTTCAGTAAACATCTTAAAAAAAGTAATAACTTTTGAAAAAGCATCCCCAGTTATCAAGATCTGTCTTGACACAGACAACACATGCAACTCAGACACTAGCACATCCGTAAAGACAGTAAAGGGCATAAAGGAACACAAAATAACTGGCCGGAAAAGATCGGCATCTAAACTGGAGGATGAAGCATTAATAAAAAAGATCAAAAGACGTGAAGATGTTGAGCGAAATGAACAACAGATAAAACAACTTGACGAGATGAACAAAGGTATCATTTTTCAAATATCATTTTTCATTGGTGCATGCAAGGTTGTCAAGAAGTGAGATACTCAGGCCTCTGATCTGCACCTGAATGTATAAAAATATAAATGAATAAATTGTATAAATATTGATATTTACAAGTAATACTAATATGCCCCTGACACCATATTTACATACTATACTATTTCAGTATTGGAAGAATTAAATGGCAGCAAGGCGCTAAATGAGTATACTATTCTGTGTGGACGATGCCGGAAGAAAAAGCTGGTGCCAATAGATCGAACCTTCATAGCAAGAGCGGAATATTTCAAGAAAAGTATGTGACTTTTTGGTGCATGGTCATTTAATTTAGCCTGTATTTTGTTGTAGTTTCTGTTCCTTTCACAATTGCTGCTTTAGTGTAATATATTTTTAGTGTAAAATTTGCATACATTTCTTTGTTTTTTAGAGCACTATGACACAGCTTGCATTAAGCAAAAATGCACAGAAGACAAGAAACAAAAATCCATTGCAGAGTTTTCCAATATGAGAGATTCTATGCAAAAATTTGTCATTCAATCCGATACTGTCAATTAACACTATAGAACCTAGCAATACAAACTATGACAGTGACTGTGATGCAGACATAGACTACCAAGACAATAATTCAATGGAGTAAGGAAAATACTTGGTTCTTTTATGATCTTTTATTTATGACTAACTATATGCATCCACAATCATTGCCTGGAACATAATTCACATTAAAAGTTTTTAACACCAGCCAACCAGATTGCTTGGACTGCTTAAGCTGCTTAGGGTGGGTAGAACAGGGGTAGAATTTGTGTATTGATGTCACTGATTGCACTGTTCTGATCACTCACTCATTCACTGTAGTTTGAAAAAATGTATCTGCACAGAAATTTAATTCTTTGTCTTTTTCTGGTGTGCTTCTGAAAATCAGTAATAAAATTAAATAATGTTGTTATATAGGTGTTGTATATTTTGATTGTGATTGGTTCATTCGTGGTCACATGACTTTAAATAAATGCAATGTTTCCCGCCAGGGAAACAAGTGAAAAATTGTTGCCCGCTTCATAGCAAATAAAACAGTTATGGAGCCGAAAACAAAAAAACAACGTTTCTCAAACTTGTCAAGCGATGAAATTCAACTTTTAATAGAAAAAAAGGATTCAGAAAACACTCGGAAGTCAACAAAAAATGCTGTGGCCACCTTTATAGCATTTTGCAACGAAATTTCTTCGGACGAATCTCCACCGAGAGACCTTGATTACATTGAAGGACTGTCGAAAGAAGAACTCGACTAGCTTTTAGCTGCTTTTTACCCAAATGCCAGGAAAAAGAATGGCGAAAACTACAAAAAATCTGCTCTTATGGGTTTGAGGTTTGGTCTTCAGAGGCATTTTCTACTTAAAAGGAATATCAACATCATTAGTGATCAAGAATTTGCTAAATCAAATCAAGTCTATGAAGCAGCAATTGTTGAACTGAAACGGCAAGGTTTTGGTAATGTCGAACATCACAACTCCATTTCGCGCGAGGATCTCCAAAAAATACAGTTGTCCTATAATCCTGCTGTGCCAGACCCGAAAAGTCTTCAAAGATTTGTTTGGTTCAACATCATGTTTCATCTAATACGTAGAGGAAGAGAAAACCTTCGACTTTTCACGAAGCAGTCGTTCGCCATAAAGACTGACGCGACAGGAAAAAAGTTTGTTTATCAGGCGACAGACGAGCTAGACAAAAACCACAGAGGCCATGACAACGCCGACGATTCCACTGGCGAAGGTCGTATGTACGAACAAGACGGCCCATTGTGTCCAGTGAAGGCATTTGAACTGTATTTAGCAAAGCTACACCCTGAACTGTTTTGTTTATGGCAGAAGCCTAAATCGAAGGAACATTTTACTGAAGCCTCCAATGTTTGGTACTGTAATGTTCCTGTCGGTAAAAACACTTTAGGAACTTTAATGAGCCGGATTTCCAAGGATTTGGAACTTTCACAAACATATACTAATCATTGTATTAGGGCGACAGCTGTCTCTTTACTTGACGACTGTAATTTTGAAGCTCGTCATATTATGCGTGTCTCTGGGCATAAGTCTGAGAGTAGCATTCGCTCGTATTCAAAACGACTCTCAGAGATGAAACAAAAACAAATTTCATATTCGCTCAGTAGCGCTTGCTTTACAGAAGCTAGTACTTCAAGTGAAATTGTACTTGTAAACGAAGCTCGAAACGAAGCAGAAGAAATTGTTTGTAAGCAAACTACAAACAGCTCACAGTCACTTATATTGACTCAGAATTTTGCCTCCCACAGCCAAGAAACGGTCAATTTTAATGCTGGGGCTTTTGCCGGAGCAAATGTGACCATTAACTTCTACAAAAAATGACATTTCAAAGCGAAAATATTGTTTGTAATTTAATTTAATCGTTGGCTGCATGCGAAGGTTTTGAGAACGCTTGTTTGTTACATTATAAAGTCGGGTCACATAGGCTTAATTGTTGATGGTAAAGTGTTTATAATATAAAATTGTTGTGTAACATGTATGCTTTTGTTCCTATATAACAAAGCACTTAATGTACGTTCCCTCGGAAATAGTGAGTTTTGTTTTCCCTTGAGTCTGAATGTTTCAGACTCTTGGGAAAACAAAACTCACTATTTCCCTCGGGAGCATACATTAAGTGTATAATATTTAGCATGCCTAACACTTCGAAGGGTCTTCGAAAGTTTTGAATGAACTGCTAAAGTGTGGTAATATTAAGTTCTACTAATTTACTTTGACTCAACAGGTTTTATTATTGTGATATTGGCGAAAGTGCCAAATTGAACAATGAGAGCAGTGATTTTGACACAGACAGTGATCTGGTGACAGGCTCAGATTCACAAGACTCAGAGTTTAATCCCGATAATGAGCCCAACAATTCTAATAGTGAAGACTCAGATAGCGACATAGACAAGGAATATTATATATTTCCCATGTCCGTGGAGAAAGCCGATGATGTTTGCGTAAGATTAAATAATTTAATCAAAAGCGGCCAAATTCCGAAGGTCAAAATATTTTACAAATATCTTGATGCCATTTTGTATGCTATGACTGACCCAAACCACGAATATGACAAGCAAGTTGTTGAATTTTTCAACTCTATTAAATATCTTGGAGGAGAGAAGACGGTGAACTTTATCTGGGGTGCTATGTGGCATGGCTGTGGCGGCGTTTTTGATCCAGAGTTAGCTAAACCAAACCTCGGTGGACCTGGAAGAACGACAAGATTAAGGCATTTGTCTGGCTATACTACTTCAAGTGGCATAATTAAGCCATGGCTTGATTCAGTTTTAAAACTTGCTATAGACCCTTTAGTGGGCGTGAAGCCTATTATTGATACAGAGATTGTCAATGTGATTGGGGCAGCAATGGAGAACAATGGAACGGCTTTAAAGGCTGCGATACAATACGATGAAAGACAACAAATAAACGTGGGTTTTAAGGTGACATCCGACATAGAATTTGTAAAGTCAAATCTTGCTCCCTAATTGGAATTTCTGAATGAGAATGTTGTGACAGAAGCAAATGTTACCTATTTGTCAACGACTGAGAATGGAGTTGCCATGCCAGTTGGTGTCATTTACAAAGCCAAGGCAGGCAAAACTGAAGAAGAGATGAAGGAACATTTTCTTGACCAAGTTGAAGTTTTGCAAACATGCCATAACTGTATTCAGTCAGTAATATCTTCACGGCATATTATTGATAAATCTCATACAATGATTTGCAAAAGTGCATGTCAAGCTTGTATAAGGACCGCTTCTGTCTGCAATACCTGTCGTGCTGAAGGGCAAACTTCCCACATACCTTCTCTTCATGCTTGTCAATGTTGCCTTGAAGCCAATATCCAGTGTCGTCGAGTAGTAGTTCTTGTTTTAGCATCAGATTGCGAATCTGGGAACAAAAAAGCCTTTGAATTGATATCGAAGAGCAAACTTGATGGAACGTTGCCACCTCAGTTTATTTTTATTTACCTACCTAATGATATCCGTGTAGGCAAAAGTCTGAAATGTAGCTTCGCCAACTGGATGCTGTTATTGGATGATGAGAGAGCATGTTTAGCAATGCTACATACCATCTGGGATTCTGACCTGGAACTTAAGAAGTTGTTACCAAGAGACAGTGTTTTAAGTAAAGATCAAATGAATGTAAACTGTATTTTGCATTTGAGCGAACAGTCTGTGTTAACTCGTCTTCAAACTGTTGATTGTGTCGTACATTCAGTTGTCCCAGACAGCTACAAGATCAGTGAGACCAACAAGGTTGGGATGTATCCACATCCCGTCGCAATTTGCTGTGGCGAGAACGGAAAAGTACTTGTTCTGGATTATGTTCCATCGAAAAACCTCACTAGGCTTCTTGAAATTAGGCTTCATGTCCCTGCAGACGTTACGATCATTGGAGAGTGCCATGGCGCAGCTAAATCGCTTACTTACTGTGATGGAATAGCTTATGTCAGTTGCCCAGCAGGAATACAACTATTTCCCTTGGGAAAGAACCCAAAAATACAGGCAAAGAAACTTAAAAAAACGGAGCTCATTTCTGAGTTGCAGAAAAGAGATGTTGACATGCTAGGAACTGTTCCGGTACTTCGCGAACGGCTGTGTAGATATCTGAAGGATGTGGAAAGAGCGTATGCACAAGCCCATACAGACCTAACAAAAGTCCAACTTTCTCAAAAGCTCGAGCCTTCCAGCATCGCTAAGGCTAGCGATAGCGTTATTTTTTGCGCCAGCGATGTGGATCGGGTTATCTATTCTATCAGTTTAGAAATGGATGGAGTGGCAGTTAAAGGTGATGTTACCATTTTTGCACAATATCCATCCTCCTGTACAGAGGTACTATCATTGTGCGTGAATCATAACATCCTTTATCTGTCTCATAAAGGCACTCCATGAGGAATCATAGCTATTGCAATGTCAACACTTGAGGAAACTGCTGTGCTTCGAAATGGAACTATTGAATGTAGTGAAAGCGCACAAGTAGCTGCTTTCCTTGATGGCATAGTTTATGTAGACACCGGTAGCCTCCAAATAAAGACTAAGAGCTGGTGAGGAGACTGTAATTATTGCTGGAACGGGAAAAGAGGGAAATTCTAATGGAAGAGCAGACCAAGCGTCATTTGCGCAGCCTATGGGCATATGTGTGGAGCTTGATAAAAACATTTTTATCACCGATGCTCAAACTGGCTCTGTCAAGCTAATTACCACAATAGAAGGGATTATAAAATATCTGCGTTATTTAGGACTTTTGTACCAAGCGTTTTCGGTTCATATGAAACATTAAATGGTCCCAAAACTTTCCTTACACCAGGCAATTGATCTTCTAGAAGAACTCGACAGTTATTTGACAACAACAACAGAAAAAGCATTGTCACGTAGTAACGAAGGCGATGCAAGTGGACCAAATACGGCAAGTAAAGCAAGCGGTGCTCATGGAACTATTTCTAATGAGAGAAAGCTTTCTGTCAGTATGATCTTCAACGGGCTAAAAGATCTGGCGGCATTAATTGACGAACGTAACTCAAACTACACAATTGATCTGCACTCCTGTCTAACAGTTCAGGTTGAAAATCTGCATGCATTGGGTCATTTCAAAGACCAGTTTCCCACCACCTTGCAGTACACACAGAATCTGGCTAATACAGTATACGAAAGTATTAAGCATGTAGTTCACTGGAGTGCCCACTACTACACGCATGCTAAATATTATCCAGTTCTGCGCCAAAGTACTCCACTGAATGCCGTCCCAAGGATGGATCATCTTAAGCCTGTAACACAGTTAAATAGGCAGGAAAAAGATCTTATGATTGAGTGGGCGATGACCAATGGAAAAGCTGTGCGACAGAGAAGTGTGAGGCAAGAGAATACCATGTTCAAAGCAGGAATATTGCCATTAAACATGTACAGAATGACAGAATATCCAAAAGAAAAACTTTCTTTGCACCCTGTCGATCCTGTCGCAGTGCAAAGTCAACCAGCTGCGTCTGTGGCAATTACGCCTCCTACGCTTTCTACATCACACGACCTGGTAACTGAAGAGGGTCAAGCAGAAGAACAATTGGAGGACGAAGAAGAGTACGATACGGATTCAGATTCAGACTATCCTGTGGCAGAAGATGACGAGGTCGATACACAGGATAATTTAACATTCCTTCGCGGTGTCACTACACATTGTGGACGAATGGTTCGAGTAGTTCGACGTGAATGATGAAGACAAAGAAAATAAGGTATGCTCTTTTTTGCCGCACACTTTTGCATATTTTCCATTGTAACTTTATGAATGAAATGAACAGAAAAACTATACTATAAACGAAAAAACTATCATATGAACTAAAACTATATGAACGAATAAAAACTATCCTATGAACGGAAAAACTATTGTCGTGATTCGGAAAAATAAAATTTTGGTGGTTGTGACTCGTGATTTGTCATTTTCTTCGTCCATTGGAAGATTAAACTTTTAAAAACATAGAGATTAAGGGTTGGGGTCTATCTTGCACATGGTTGGTGGACACTGGAGCACAAATAAGTGTATTACAAGAGTCTTTAGAATCACAAGCTAGAGGGTACAAATTGATTTAGCCAAGGGCTATTGGCAAGTCCCGGTCAAGGAAGCGGACTGTACGAAAACTGCCTTCTCCTGTCACAAAGGTTTATTTGAATTCAACACCATGCCTTTTGGTCTTAAGCCGCCACAGAAAAGGAATGTTTAGCTGTCGTTTGGAGTTTAGACCAATTTAACATGTACTTGGAAGGGAGACATTTTACAGTCATCAGGGATCATAAGCCATTATTAACATACTCGCGACAACTTAAAGAGCCTAGAGGAAAGGTAGCCAGATGGCACGTCTGCCTTGATATTTATGATTTCACCATTCAACACCTTCCTGGAATGTTAATGACTGTTGCTGATGTGTTAAGTCGTGCACCCATTCAAGCAGTAACTATCGACGAGGTATGGACAGATAGAGAATTAAGTGCATTTCAGATGGAGGATGCAGATATTGGCGTGATTAATCGCTGGGTTGCTACTCGGGTGAAACCAAAGAATATCGAACATCATGTTACCAGTTTTATCAAGACACATGGCAAGAACATTAACCTGGTCAACAACGTACTAGTTCTGAAAATAGCATGTCATGGACGGAACATCGACGTACATACAATGATCCCGCAATCGGAGGTACCACATATACTACAACTCCTTCATGACCAAGCAGGACATTTTGGTGTCGCCAGGACCCAACATAATGTTGGAACCCGATTTTTTTTTTTTAATTGGAAACGTGATGTGCAGGATTGGTGCCGTTCCTGTGAAAGTTGTCTTCAAAGAAAAGGGGTGCAGAAAGCAGACCGACCACCGGTGGGACAGCTGCCCATTCCTAAACAACCTTTTCAATGTTGGCATATGGACTTTGTTGGCCCTTTACCCAAGACACCAAAAAGCAAACTGTCTTTCCTCGGTCAGCTACATACAAGAGTTTGAAATCGAATTATTAAGAAACTTCAGTATGAGTCACTCCTACGAGCACAAAATGTCCGTTTTAACTGCTTTAGCCATGGGGAGAGAGTGTGGATTTACCATCCAAAGAAACCAAAGGGCTCAGCCAAGAAATTAGTCGGGGAACGCTTTCCGGGCCCTTATATATTGGTTAAACACATTGGAGATACCTCCTACAAAGTAAAACCTGTTTCGCGAGGGGGAAGGAGAAAGGTCATAAATCATTGTTGTTTTGAAAAAAGACTGAGAGACCACAACATTTACAGTCTACGGATAGCGAGGAGAGTTCAGATTCCGACGATACAAATGACAGAGCTTCAGATTCTAATTCCATGGGGTCTCAGGAGCTTAGACTCGATATAGATAGGGAAGAGGTCCTTGGACCTCAGCTAGATCCAGAACCTGCTGCAGCCTGACCACACAGAGAGAGATGAGCACCAGATCGGTATGGATTTAGCCAAGTTAACTTGCGAACAGCATTAGAGAATGAACAAGCAGAAATTTGACTCTGAACTTTTGAATAGTTTAAGATAAGTATTTAGGGTTGTGTTGACATTGGATACTCTGGAAGGGAGGAGTGTTAGAGTAATATTAGTTATGGTAAAATGACATTAAGTATGAGGATGAAGAGGCGCAAAATAGGAGAGAACTTATGGAACTGGCTTGAGAACAGTGCAGACGTAGAAATGTAAAATATAGACGAGGCATTAATCGTTTGAAAAGATCACACTAAATATACTCTTTATACATAACTCTTTATAACACAATCTTTTTTTCTTTCAATTAAATATACTCTTTATACATAACTCTTTATAACACAATCTTTTTTTCTTTCAAAAATAAGGATTGATGTTCCTGAAAAAGAAAGTGGAAAGATGAAAGCTTTCACAGAAAAAGGTGAAGATGTGCTCTTCCCTCACTGTATATGTTATGAAAAAAAAGAAAGCAAATACACAAATGAGGAAATGGCGAGTATGGAATCACTTCCACAAGATGCCGGTGAAGAAATTGAGCATCTTACCCTATAAAGCCCAAGGAGAATGTTTGGCAGCAAATCAAGGCTTCAAAATCACACAGGCAGAGCAAAGTTTCATTATGAAAGCATGCAGTTGCAATCGGAAAGTTGACAGATTTGAAGAATTCTTTGAAAATGAATAAACAGACTGTTTTTTCCGCAGATCACCTTGACAATGAGGGATATGCACTTTACCTTTTTCCCTTAAAAAATCGTAAGAAAAAATCCTTCAAACTTGAAACACATAATAATGAATGAATTCAACTTTTTTCAAATTACCTTTATGCTCAACAAAGAAGCCGTTGAGGATCCATTATATTATTCTCTCCGAAATCATAGATCCTGATAAACACCAAAACCGGATAGAAAATCACCAACGAAATCTTCTTCATTCTGGTTTCGATTTGTCAATGGACACAAAATCAAGCATTATGTTTTTTATTCTTAAAATAAAGTCATTTTTTGTTAAAAGCTGTTACTGATTCGTCAATAGCTGTTACAACATTTCAGATCTTAATAAATAAACTATTAAAAGCTGTCAGGGATGTGTGTTTTTCTCATTTCAATTCAAATTCAATGTTACTACCCAATTGTTAATTTATTTTTAACTACCTTCATTAACCGTGACCATGATCGGATTTTCCCCGCCCCGCACCTTTGACCCTGCTATGACCACCAAATCACCTCACGCGTAAGTATTAGCGCAAAGTTCAAATTCACTCAGTTGGCTCAACCAAGGCTTTGGGTAACATCTTCTTTGCTCCGTCACCACATGCTGATGTGTGACCTGTTTGCCATTAGCTTGATTTTACAGTGCCCTATAGGGGACATGCAATATCAAATATTCCTAGCTGCAATGTTTTGTTTAAGACTGTGATTTCATATATTGTTCTTGAATTTACCTTTATACATCCTTGTTGTAATTTGATATGTCGCCTTGTAACCTTGTTGCTGCAATTTTATATATATCGTTGCTGCAATTTTATATCTATCATTGTTGCAATTTTATATACGGCTGCTGCAATTTTATAGGGACCTTTAGCACGCAACGTTTTCTGAGTGACGGCAACGCGTGTGACCGCAAAGGGCCTGGAACTGACACAACACCGTCGCGTCACGTTCCCGCCAAATTTCGAATACTTTAGCAAACAACAATCATGTAAGCGACGCTCAAAACATCTTGATCGTACGGAAATGTCTTCGTTTAGAGATTTGCGAGAATTGCTTGTACTTTCATACGATAGCAACTTCATTTCTGATATAGAATTGTTTGTCATGTATAATTCTTTCTTGTTGAAAAACCCAGATTTTTGCTACGATACCTATCCTGCCTTTTCCCTCGACAATGTAGAAGAGGCCGAATGCAAGGCTGAGTTTCGAGTGTTAAAAGCAGGACTTACCTTGTCTTCGAGAGGTTCTTCGGATACCAGAGAGATTCAAATTGGAATAAAGAAGTATTTGTGATGGTATGGAAGGCCTATGCATGCTTTTAAGACGTGTTTGTTACCCTTGTCGATACAGCGATATCATACCTCGGTTTGGTGGCAGGCCAGTTTCAGTTATCAGCCTTATCACAAACCCTGTCATCGATTATATTTTTAATATGCATGGATATCTTATCTCTGAGTGGAATGAAAACGTCTTAAATCCTGTCGCTTTGCAAAGTTATGCAGACGCCATAGCAAGACAAGGTGCACCACTCACTAATTGTTTCGGTTTTGTGGATGGGACAGTACGGCCAATTTGCCACCCCGAAGAAAACCAAAGATCCGCATATAATGGGCACAAGAGAGTCCATGCCCTGAAATTCCAGTCCATCGCCTTACCCAGAATAAGCACTTTCAAAACTGCGCTAAAGGAACTTTATTCTTTGAGACTGGTAAATAGTAGTGTCTACTAGCTTAGCTGAACTTTATAGTATTGATAATGTAGTATTTTATGTAGTAATGACATTGATAATGTAGTATTCTATGTATAAACTAATGGCATGTCATTTATATACGTACATATAGTCAATGGTAGCTGTAGTCAATTGGGACTATGTCCTGTGTGGCCACCTTTTGCCAAATTGTAAATATTTTATTTCTGCAATAAAGTGATTAGGAAAAAAAAACATGGAAAATGGTGCAAGTGTTTGCTTGGAGTTATGGTTGGTTAGTAATAACCTTTTGTAGCATTATCATTAAAGCTTGATTTTGTTGCAGCTGCTGTTGTTGGAGTGTGTGCATTTGCTCATTCTGGGCTTGGACTATCTGCAGAATCTCTTGCTGCTGTTGCAGTTGTTGTTGTTGAGCTTGCTGTTGTATCTTTTGGTCTTGTTTTCTTATCTCCAGCTCTTGTTCAGCTTTCACTTTTAAAAAGGATAAAACACCTTCTGTACTTCTTGTTCTGGTTTTCTTGGTTGCCTCATTACCATCAACCTCTTGTTTTCTCTTCATGGTTTCTCCCAATCTTTCTAGGGCTTTGTTTCTTATATCTTCTGCTGCAGCTTTATCAATCTTGTCCTTGCTTCCTACGCTTTTTTGCGTTGTCTCTTCTTGATCAATGAGCTCCTCTATCAGTATATCTTTTTCATCCTGCTCATCCACCTCAATACCGCTTGCAGCTTCTTCCTCACGTCTGTTCTTTTTTAACTTGTTCTTTAGTAAATTCCATCTATCTCGAACCCCTCTCTTTTCCTTTACTCAAAAGACAATGTCTTTTGATGCATTAAGTCTGTCTGTAATTTCATCCCAAATTCTCCCCCTGTCAGGGCTTCCTTTTCTATGGTGAAAGATACATTCACTTTTTTGAGACGGTTTTCATTTTTCGTGGTGTATGTATGATTTATTCGTATTAAAATAATGAATTGTTGTACTCACATGCTTTTCTTCTTCAACAGAGTCTCGACAGCCATTATCAAACTAAAAAATACAACACAAAAACAAATATTTTGGCGAAAATAACACTAGCACAAACTTCATGAAAGGCATTGGGTGATATACTGATGGCTACACTCTATTCATACATAAAATTTGACGAGGAAAAAGAAAATTTATACTCACGTTTTCCAACAACGTCAAAACAAGCAATCAAGCGTCTGCGCGAGAAAGGCGACGAAGAGATTCCAAATTCTACGCATGCGCATGCCGTTACCGGAAGCTTTGCTTCACTTCCGGGTCACATTGCCGTTGTCATTTATCGCCATGCTATAGGTCCCTTATGTTTTGTTGCTGCAATTTTATATATATCATTATTGCAATTTTCTATACCGCTGCTGCAATTTCATATTTTGTTGCTGCAATTTTATATTTCGCTGCTGCAATTTTATATACTGCTGCTGCAATTTTATTGTTTAACTATAATGTGCTTAAATGAAGTATATCAGTATTCAAATTTCAAAATAGTTTCAAGTATTCAACATTTGGGAATTTCCCACTCCCTGTTCTTTTCATCATCAGTGAAAAGAGTATATCAGTAAATCTGCATTATGAATCTAATGATCAGGGCCTCTCAGAGGGTGGTGGGGCTGAAGGGGCAATTTGCCCCAGGACCCTTTTTTAAAGAGGGCCCCAGAATGAAGAAGAAAATAAAAAAATTGTTAGATACGATACAATGGGATAAATTGGAGTAAATTGCATTTATATAGTGAAGGGGCCCAAGCCGCATTTTTCCAGGGGCACAAAAATTTCTCTGGAAGCAATCCTACTTTTTTGCAGGGATTTTTATCGTGGACCAATCACAATTCTGGTTTCAGTTTTTATTTTTTACTTAGCAACGCACAAAAAATTTTGCTGTCACTCAATCATGTTTTGTTCTCGTTGTGGAATCTTATGTATAACAAATGCTAAGTATTGTCATCAGTGTGGAAAGAGCATTGTATCTTCACCCAATGGCACCGATGCATCATCACCTAGTACCACAAAAAACGCAGATGGAATAACATCATTTTTAACACCATTGCCATGTTCGAGTTCGATGCCATGTACTAGTCAAGGAACCAGTTCTATTTCTAGTCGCAGCGGGCTATCCTTCCAGTCATTTCGTGCCCGCAAAGAGTCAGAACAATCCACTTTTTTAAAGGATCAAAAGTGAAAAAGGTCAAACTCGAAGAAAAGAAACCGGAACAAGTAAAAATTAATATTTGTGTATTGGTTTTAGACGATGGGAAACTATCTATTAAAAGAGGAGCTAGTCTTCCATTGACAGTATTGAATTCTATAACATCTTGTGACCTGTTCGAAAAAGCCGTTGAAAAGCATTCTAGATTCAATCAAAACATTGTCAATACTCAGGCAAATTATTGGCTGCTTTATCCAGATCGGGCCTTTCAAGCGCAATTTTTTTTTAGAGCATAACTGACACAAGGCATTTTCAAATGAAAAAAAATATGATCGTATCTCTTTGATAGGGGACAAAAAAAATTTGGATGCAAACTCCATTTTTTCATGGCAATATTGTTTCATTGTTCCCTGTCCCATTTCATTTATGGTGTTGTATCATCCTAAATATTCTAGTTTTGCGAAAAGCATCTGTAACTTTTGTTTTCAGCATATCAAAGAAGATTATACGTACTTTGAAACGCATCAGAATGGTTTACCGGAACTTTATGTCCTTAAACTGGTTTACCTGAGGTTATAGCGGAATCTAAAATACTTCTTATTAACCGAGCGCAAGATTTCACAAAGAAATATCAGACCTCCGTCTTTTTGTGTGAAATATGCCCTAAAGGTACAAAAAGACCGACGTCTGATATTTCTTGGTAGAGTCCAAGCAAGCGAGGTTAAACGTTTATTATATTGCATACTTGGCACTATTTAATTTACCTAAAAAAGTCTGGAGCCATCCTATCAATTTCAAATAATATCAATTAAATTTGCCTCTCAGTATTGTGCCATTTTCTTTCAGAATTTCTCTGTTTTTCATCTGTAACAACGGTCCATGAGAGGAAGTTCTGGTCCATTACGGTTTGGTACTGCTTCATTACAGGAAGAGGGCAGATATTTATATATTCATATTCTGCATTATTAACTTCTTTTGAAATTGATTGTTTTTACGATCTGCAGACACAAATATATAAATATCTGCCCTTGTTATTATCGATTTCTGGCACCCCTGCAGAAGTGACGCTTGCCATATAATAATTAACATAAACTATGTAAAGTTTTATTGATTCCATGGTCTTGTTAGTGTATTACTAAAAGTTAACTTGGTTACCAAGTCCTTATGTAAAAACAATTACTTTGTGACATTTTTTAAGTATTGCTAACCTCATATTATAAAACTGCTGACACATTTGGGCCCGGTTGTGTCAAGGCCGAATAATGCTATCTGCCCTCTACGAATATAAACCATACACTTAATAAAAGAAACAGCAGTTAATAACTAATATAAGATTTAATCCAGGTTATACTGAACAACGGACACCAACCACTGATTTTTAATCCTGAAGACTCGTTAATTGTTGGAACAATAGAAACGCTTCTTCCTCTTTTCTTGGAAAAGTGAGTCCTAGATCATCGGTCATTGTCTCGAAATACTCCAAATAAACATCCTCAGCTGGTTCCTCTACCTCACAATGAACTTTCATTTCATCAACTTGCCTGCTATTTAGTTCCAACAATCAATTTTTCCAAAATTATCTGGCAAATAATACAAAATGTCTGGCACTCCTGCAGAAGTGACATGTGTAGATCTACGAATATAATGGCTATTCCAATGGTTTTTCACTTTATTTAAATCACTTTGAATAAGATGTGCGAAGCAAAACCATAAACATTTCATGTGTAGATCATTCTGAAGATTGAGGATATTTGACTCAACCATGACTTTAAAAAAGTCCATCCACCAACTTGTTCGATGATGTCTCAGGAAAGACCACCAACCTTCAATCCTTTGGTTGGAATGAGAGGAACCATAAATATGTGATTTCTCACCAGAAAATTGATCTGTTCCAGTTGAACGGAAATGGCATTGCATAGCTGCTACAATACCATTCTCGATGCCACAGTCTGACCTCACAACCATTGGACAACCTTTTATTTCGGTAACTGTGTCCAAAAACAGTTGTGCTGGAATTCTAGGGTCATTATTGCTTTTAACAACCTCAAGCCATAGTATTTTCTTACTATTTCCGCAAATGAATCCATGTATGGGGAACCATATGGTTTCAATTTATCATACCCTAGTGGAAATAATTAAGTCGAAATTTAAACTACTGTTAATGAAAAGCACATAGTTTATTTTATAACATAATGATAGAAATATTTTTAATTTACCCTTCTGTGCAAAATGAGTCATTACAAAGAGAAATTTTAATACCATCTATTCTGTTGACAGTATTTCTAAGGTGTGTAACTGAAGTCCTTTCTTAGGGGTCTAAATGATTGTAAAGAGGGAGGAGTGTGTGAACAAACCATGAATATGCCAGCAGAAATTTGATCCAAGAGAAGTATACTGCCGTCGAGTTAATCTTGGTGACCGTCTCTCTTCAACCGCTTCTGGGTCGATCTCCTTCATAAGGCGTGCCACCAGCTGGCGTGGTACATGTATTTCATGTCTTAGTCTCAGGGCGTGCCAGATACTTCGGTAACCAGAAAGTCTTCCTGCACCGTTCATTTCTTCAGTTATAACTGTTCTTAACAGATTTATATCAATATCATTTCCTCTTCTTGACAAGCCTAGGTCTTTCAACCTTTGTTTTAGAGTTTGAATGTGCATGCATACCCCCCTTCTTTAGCAACTGAACTATAGTAGCGTATGGATAACCACAGTTGACATAGTGAATTATGAAGGCGTCTTCATTTCGTTGATAGACTTCTTCAGCAATCAAAAGGGAATGACGTTCGTTTTCAAGGCTTTTACCACACAAATGGCAGTAATACGAACCTTCTAAACACTCAGTACCACAGGTGGAACAGAACATGAATAAAATTCAATATAAATATAAAGTACTAGTAAGCGAATCAGTAACCGAATAATTAAATACACATAAAAATCCCCACGAAAAAGTAGGATCGCTTTATTCAATCATTGGATTCATAAAGCAGATTTACTGATATATTCTTTTTGCTGATGATAAAAGGAACCAGGAGAGGGGTGGGAAGTGAGAAATTCCAAAATTCCCAATGCTTAAAACTATTCTGAAATTTGAATACTCCTTTCAACTCGAATTATAAATAATTCATTGCATGTGTATACTTCATTTAAGCACATTATAGTTAAATAATAAAATTGCAGCAGCGGTCGGTATATAAAATTGCAGCAGCGAAATATAAAATTGCAGCAGCGGTATATAAAATTGCAGCAATGATATATATAAAATTGCAGCAACAAAATATAAAATTGCAGCAACAATATATAAAATTGCAGCAACGATATATATAAAATTGCAGCAACAATATATATATAAAATTGCAGCAACGATATATAAAATTGCAGCAACAATATATATAAAATTGCAGCAACGAGGTTATGAGGCGACATATCAAATTACAAAAAGGATGTATAAAGGTAAATTGAAGAACAATATATAAAATCAGTCTTAAACAAAACATTGCAGCAATGAATATTTGATATTGCATGTCCCCTATGGGCCACCATATGATTCAAATAAATTAATATCTTTAAAACAGGTCACATGACATGCAAACGTGAACCAGCACACTTCCCTTTCTCACACCAATCTCATTTTTTGAACAATCTGGACAGTCAATGTTACGGTACCACGTCCGTAGAGCCTGATTTCTTGCGTAAACAGGATGTGATGTCATTTTTTGTAATACCAAAATATAATAATTTCTCCCCCCCCAAAAAAATCACATCTACTACTATCGCTAACCTGCACCTAACCTAAGCCGGTACTTCTAGTTCATCTGATAATTGTGTGGAAGGTTTAATATATATTTGGACGCAAACATTGGACTTGTTCTACTCGTTTAATAAGTTTGATTGTTTGGGGAGCCCAAGTGTGTGTGGCATAACCAAGGTGAGGTCGTACAATCTTGAACTTCGTTGTAAGGAACTACGTCGGATTGTATACTTTGACGTGAAGTCTTTCCTTCGCCAGACTCAGAACTGTCGGAGCAACTGAATAATGCCTTTAGTTCTGAATTTGGTGAAGGAGAGACTTCACATCGAAGTATACAATCCAGACATAGTTCCTCACAACGAAGTTTATCCTTTTCATTGAAAGCATTGCTTAAAAAA